CCCCCCCCTTCCGATGCATCGCAACTCCGTACGAGTACAGGGCGATCGGATAGTGAAGGCGATACCGATGCGTCGTTTGGGCGACCCTTCCGAGCTGGATGGTCTCCTGCTCATGCTGGCATCGGAGCGCGCGTCAAGTTACATGACGGGCAGTGTGCTAACCCTGGATGGTGGAATCATGCTTAGCCACTTGTGAACTCTTGCACTGTATATACGGAAGCACCAGCGCCGGCGCACACGGCAGCGAGGACCCGACCGATGTTTGTTGAGTATCCCGGTGATTTCTGCCTACCTGCTGACAAGGCGTGAGTGACACACTTACCCTTGGGGGCACTAGAACCGATGCTAACACCGTGTTATGTCGGAAGGAGGATCCAAGGGACGGTCCGGGAAAACATCAGGACCAGGTGCTGAGGAGACTTCATGGTCAGGGTGGCCGCTCTTGACAAATGAGAAAGTTTTGTTTTGGTTTTGTTTCCTGGCTTCCCTGCATCGTCCCTGCGTTCTTGTTCATCGAGCTTAGTTGCCGGAGGATACTACCCGTGGTTAGCGCTCCCGCACGCCACCTTGTCCGTTTGAAACGGCTTCATGGTCAGATGTTTGTCAGGGTTCCTCGTCTTGTGCAATGTACCCGAAGTCTGTGGGAGTGGGGGGGAGGTTGGTGCTTGTGCTAGGGGACTTTGAATTGTCAAGAGTACAGGAAGGTGTCGTCTTTTCAGTTGTTGTCCTCGATAATGCCGGTGGTGATTGTGCGTTAATTTCGATTGTTGCCCCGAAAGGCCAGAATTATATGTTCTTTCCGTCGAAACGATGATCTGTACGTGTCTGTCGTGAAGCATTCATTGCTGTCCAAAGGTAGGAGTGGCCTGTTTGAAGAGACAGCTTGAACTGGGTGCTGCTAGGTGTTCAGGAACTGCTTGTCGTGGGAAGATGTTGTATCCAACGTTGACGATTTCGCGGACGAAAGTGCATGCCGCTTTCACCTTCTACGGCTCACCCAGTACATCCCACCGCTCGCCTCTCAGCTAAGGAATTAGGGATGGCAATCATGGATGCCTCCACGTCGTGACAGCACGATTACCTGTCGCGCTCTTTTCTTTCCTTCGAATTTTTCGTGTTTTTTTTTTTTCGTTTCGTAAAAGAACATCCAACGCTGGAGTAACCTCTCCGTCCGGACGGGCTCTAGCTTCCGCCACCAACTCCCCGATCATCATCGTAATCGCCATCAAAACTGTCTCGCCTCCGTACGGCGAAGGCCAGGATCTTCCCCAGCCCGGACTCCTTGTACCCCCAACCCCCGCCCCGCCCTCCTCCGCCTACTACCCCACGTTTAGCGGAGAACGCCGAATCATCGTTCCCCCGTGTGCTACCCCTCAGTGCCCCGGGCGCTACCAGGTGTCCAATACCGCCACCGGCAACATCCTCGGCCAGTGCCTCCCCGGTCCCGTTTGCGGGCGAATCTGCGGCGGTTCCTCTGCCTCCACGCCGACCACGTCTTGCAGCGGTTTCGCTGTCGGTGGGAGTGTCAAGGTGTATTTTTCTTCTCTCCGGAGGAAGGCTCCCTCTTTTCCACTCGGGGCCGGGCCACTTCCCACCCCTGCCGCCTGTCCCACCTGCAGCAACAACAGCAGCTCCGCCTGCAACGTCGCCAGCAACTGTAGCTGGGCTACCACCACCAATGCGGCTACCACAGCTGCGGTTTCCTTTGGCGTCGTCACCGGAGACCCGTGCTCGCAGGTCGTCCGCGCAGGTCGGGTCCAAGGCCCGGACGTGGAAGCCGTTCAGGTTGAGCATCTCCAGGAAACCCTCGTGCCGCCCTCCTCGCTGTTGAAAACAACACAAAGGGTCCGCGGGCGGGGATAACAGTCCGCAAGTCAGAAGAAGCAGGGGCGGGACGGATGTGCTGCATTGGTCTGGGTGGCTCATCTTTCGACCCACCTGAAAACGGAACAGCTGGTGAGAAGAGAATACCACCAACGTCATCACGGACGTGTACATGTGGCAACACCCTGGCGGACAGGCGGAGCACACGAAGACCAACACCACTGCTGGAGACAACGAACGATAGTTAAAGCAGTCTCTCTACGCACGAGTGATGTACAACGGTACGCCATTCAGTGCTTCGAGGCAAGGCCGCCTCACGACAACCTCCCTTGCCGACACACACGCCGTACCAAACCCTGCCGCCAGAACTCACCAACATCGTGGCGAGATAGACGAGAGAGTTTTCCGAGCACAGGCGCCGGTCCGAGAGGGTGGAGAGCAGAGCCGGGAACGTCGGCTCGTTGTAAATCACGTCTGCGCCCTGTTGGGTTTCATTGTCACCGGGTCGTCTGAGCATGATATGGCAGCATCGTGCGAGGGTTAACCGGACGCCGTCGACAAAGTACCTGTGAGGCCTTGCGGCGTACGCCAGCGGCCATCATTTGCCAGAAAATCGAGGAGAGCGCTCAATGCTTGAAATAAAAGGACATGATCTCCGTTGGGCAAGTCTACATGCGATGTTCATGCGCTTGACGGACTGCTCATCCATCGATACCCGTTGTGCATCCACCGCTCTCCCCCCCGGGACACGTTCCCCATTCGATTGGCCCACATACGATAGCCTGCGCAGGACCTATCGGTCCCTCCTCCCCCATCTCACCACGATCATATCAAACCCCTCCCACTCTGAACCCTCTCCATCCACAGCTGCTGCCGCTGCCGCCACTTCTCCCGCTTCGGCCACATTGCCCCAGCAAAGCTCCCGGATCATCGGTCTACTGCAGGACATCCTGTCAGCAGCATGGTCGTGATTCTCTCGGCCAACAAGACCATTGCGATCGTTGTTTTCGTCGCCATGACCTTCGTCGTCGTTCAAGGTCGCGAAGGTGGCGTCCGTGTTGTGTCGAAGGATGGGCAGCGCCTCGGGCAGATCAGTCATTGTGACCTGGTCAACGGGTGGGAAACAGTGTAGCCCGGGGAGGGGGGGGGGAGTGGGTGGGGCAGACAGACGCGACAGGTGGGTGCTGACATTCGACGGGACATGGGAACACGCTTCCAAGACTCTGGGGGGGCATTTCGCCACTCAATTCTTGCTGCAGTGAGCTCGCAAACGCGACGTTTGATGTAGAGTTCGGCTAATTCCTTGCTCTGTACCGACAAGCGGACATCCGATTCGTCACGAGCGAGGTATGTAGCGGACGAGGTGAGACGACACCCGGACCTGATTGCTTGACCTGCAATGGCGAGATAGAGCGTACTCGATCGCGGTTCGTTGAGCGATCGTATTGCTCGGCCTCGGATCATTCGGGAATCTTACCTGGGCACCGAGTAGCGCAAGGGTAAGGCCGACCAACCCCGTTCCGGCACCGATCTCGAGCACCCGGCGGCCTCTGAGCCACCCGGGCGGGAAGCAGCGTTCATCCTGTGCATCATGCGTACAATAAAACATCACGTCACGACCCATGAAAGATGATCAACAAGCTTGTGCCATTGGTAACTGTTGTATGCATACGTGAGCTAAACAGTCGGCCCCGCATCAAGGAACGTAGCGCCCCCTTGCCCTTGTCAGCGTCTGGCACAAGCTGCCGTTGTATGTAGATGAACATGCTCCCGACCAACGGATGCGTTGCCGGTTTGCTCAACATCCAACAACCGAACTAATTTCTGTACAGACCTGGAAGAAATGGTGCATCCAGATTGCCGCCTCCCACACGGTGTTGGAGAAATTGTTGACCTTCCAACGCTGCCCCTGGAGGTCTTGTGTCTGCACCACCTGCGGAGCAGCCGCGTCGCGAAGAGAGATACGGTGTCTACAAATTTGAAAATCACGACGTGGAGGTCACTGCTTTGCCTGCGCCACGCCAATTTTTAGCAGAAGGTTGCCGCCTCCCATGAGAGCCAAACAGGTGAAAGCAGCAACAGTGCAGACTGTCACCTGCCTCTACAATACCCACAGGTACGAGTAGGTGCGTACAGCACAGCCGGTACACAAGCAACCAAGCGTGCATGTTTACGGCAGAAGAAACGACAAACGATGCTCAAAGTCTTCTATTGCGTACGCATCACACAATCGACACACAGCACAGCAGCAGCACGAGTAAACACTCAAAAGTAGCGTCAGCAGGCACGCGGGTCTTGCGACAACACCAGCTTGAAAACGCAACCTGCTCACCGATCCAACGCCGATGATGGCAAAGCGTAGCTCCGGTTGGCTCTCCCGCTCCCATATCTCGCTGAACAGATCGCCCAGACTGTCACTACTTCCCTCGCCATTAACCTCCGGTTCGGTGTCATGGTTGGCCATCGGCATGGACCACAGCTGTGCCAGCCCAGGCTACGTTGCTGGACCAAAAGCTGTCTCTCTCTCGGGTCTCGGTGTCTCTTTATGTCGCCGAAACAGCGCTGACAGCTGATTGGTCAAGCTGTGGACAGTCCTTCATCCCCGTTTTCCCTGACTGCCCTGACCCGAAAGCTCCGGTCGGGCATCGGGCACAAAACAGCCTCTCTGCCACCGTCGTCCTTGGTTGGTTGCAGGGTGCCACGGCAGGCCGCACGCCACTACGATGGGGGGGATGCGGGGATCAAGCCATAAGAGGGTGCCGGTGGCGTTGAAACTCCCGCAGCTGCAGGTTAGTGACCGAGATTTTCGTCCTTGATGACAAGCCAGTCACCAGTCATGCCTCTCTCGCCCGGTCCTTTCTATTTGAAGGTGTCGATGCGTACACCTCCGTATATACGAGGAACACACCACCCGTGAAGAAGGCTCGCACCAAGGATACGCAGCAGTCCACGCCGGCAGTTGAGCGATGTTCTCTCCCCAGCTGTTTCCGTCGTGTCTATTCCAATGTCGGAGAGAAACTGAGTTGCAAAAACGTGTGTTTTGCTCCCGCAGCAACCACCCAAAGAACGAAAGCACACCAAAAGGGGATTTCGTTCTCTGGCGGCTGTGCGCCTAGGCAGTCGAGGCTGATGCACGAGCTGAGCATGGGGGCATGCACGTTTCGCTCTCTCCGTCAGTTTTTGTGTCTGAAATAGATGTCGAAACGGGCAGCACACGCAGCAGCCGACAGCTGTATCTACAATAGTCGATGTGCCTCTCCGCTTGAGAGGAAACCCGCCGCACGTCCAACAGCAGATGTGTTGGTAGTGGCTGTTGACTAGTCAAACGTGGCACATGATTTGTCAAGACATGGCAGAAGAGTTGGCGGCAGCGTTGGAATACAGTCGTCCCCGCTTTAAAGACGCTCATCTTATGTCAACTCCCCGCGATAAAGACGAAAAAAAATTCCGAACCATGGTGCCCCGCAGATATACAATATGAGGGGGGGGTGTACTTTATATACTGCGGGCCCCCCAGAAAATCGTGCAGCACACCTGTAGAACTGCACAGAGAGCGGTCTGCCACTGCTGATGCTGCTGTACCTTCTTTCGAGGACTGTGCATTCGTTCACTCACGAAACTCAAGTCAACCGAAGAGCGAAGCAGGGGGGTGAGGTGCAGGCCACTCTTGGCGATATGTGGGGGCGATAGTTTTTTTTTTCGGAGGGCATACAGCGATGGGCTCTTTTTTTTTATTGCTTCATCTTCACCGATAATTTAGCGTTGATGTCCATCTGAGTTTCGTGTGTAGGGTGTTTGTGTCTCTATCGCTTAGGATATACTGAAGTATCGTGTCAAAGTTGGAACCGCTGTGGTGAAGGATGTGTCGGTGAGGTTTTCAACATCAGGAAAACGAGAAGAAAATAAAAACAACACAGCAGGCAGCAGTCGCCACACAACCGAGAGAGTGCACTGCAGTCATAACAAAACTATATCCCGCAACAACCCACATGTCGGGAGCATATTATTGCGGGCGGTGGCGCGGTAACTTAAAACATGGTTTATAATATATAAATATATATATGGTGCATTCCACTTTCAACCACGGCTACGTTGTGAGCGGTCAGATTTATGGATCCTCGTTTCGTTATAAGTTACGTGTTGCAACGGCGCGTCTTTTGATGTATGTTATGCCTCCATCGGCCCCGGGGGTGGTGCGTTATCGTCCCCGGAATCTTAAAGACGATTCCCCGCGTTAAAGACGCTTTGGAAAAAAAAACCGCTATGCGTCTTTAAAGCGGGGACGACTGTACCGTGAACTAATCGTGTACCATTTTCTGTGTGTGCTTTCATGTCCAGAACCTGGTCAAGCGGGACAAGGAAGGGTACAGAGATGAGTTCCGGCAGCAGCACCGGAACTACCTGTCCGAGCTGGAGATCTTCAAGCTGAAGGTTGGTGACATGTTTTTTCTTGTGGGCACCGAGACAGCGCGCCGACCCGCAATTACCAAATGACCAAACATCAATAAAGTGGTATTTGAAACCTATCTAAACACCCAGGGAGCAAGTGGGTACTGCCATCGAGCCGCCCCTCCCCGCAAGTATGGGTGCCGGTGCCATGCTTGCGCGAGGGCGGTGCTTGCGCGAAGCGGAGGTCGGTCGAACGGGAGACCGCCCCGTGGATAACTTACACACACACGTCGCCACACGTGCTCTGTCGACTCTGGTCGCCATCGGCCAGTGAGTGCCGCCCATTTCCGAAAATCTGAGCCAGTCTTGCCCTCAAGACTCAACAAAGGACCACACCCCCGCCCGCCCGCCCGCGCTTTTGTATGTGTCATGCCTGCGCCACCAGCCTTCCAAGGATAGCGACCGTTTCGCCGAGCTGGTGACGTTCATGAGCCACGTGGCCCCCTGCTACAAGAAGGAGACGAAGGAATTCGGGCCTCAGCTCAAGGCGCTGCTTGAACAGCATGGCCCGGTTCTGGTGGGTTAATACTGTCTGTAGATTGAAGAATACTTGTAGGGATTATTGATCCATCCTGTGATGTGCATGCATTTTCGAGCGGTAGCCTGGGCGGCCTACGATTGGGGTTTAGGGTATCTGTCCTGTGGTGTGCATATTTTAGCGGTAGCTTGATTACCTCTGAGCAGGGTTTGGGATGTCCGACCTTGTCCCCGGCCTTGTCTCTCTCGCATGCGCGCGCTATGTACGCGCAGCACCCCTCTATCCGGATGAAGCTGGTGCAGGCGTTGATCCTGCTGCGCAACCGCGGCGTGCTGGACCCCACGGAGCTGCTGAGCCTCTTCTTCGGCCTGTTTCACTGTCAGGCGAGAAAAAGACTCGAAACGAATAAATCATTATACTTCCAACAATCAGCTGACTCCCAGATCATCTAGTTTAATTATCAGACCAACACAGAGGTTTTAAAGTTACGCATCAGAAAACCACGAAATATAGACAAGAAGCACGGCGTTTGTATGTATATCCAGGGCGAGAAAAGCCAAATGCCCTGTATCAACTCCCCATGTTTCTTTTTTGTGTTGGGGGTGGCCGACGGGGGGGAATGTTGCCCACGTTGGTGGTGTTTGGAGACCGCTCACAACAAATCTCAGTTTTACATTTGGCGCAGCACCCCCAACTTCCCTTGTACGTTGTTAAGTAGGGTTACGTCGGGGCTAGCGTAGTATCGTATGACGTATGGAACGGGTTGGTTGGACCTTGTGTCGCCACGACTTGAGGAAATGTCAGCTGCTCTTGTTCCTGGTCTATCCCCTACCCTCCTCTCCCCCCCCCCCTCCCCCCTCTCAACCGTGGTTCCTTTGCGCGATACAGGACAAGATGTTGCGTGTCATGCTGTACGACCACATCGTGAACGACATTAAGTCTATCAACGAGAAGGGCAGGAACCCGAAGGTGTGTGCATGTGTACCCTTTCCTGTGTGCATTCACCAAGGGTTCGATTCGCGCCAACCGGCTGACCAATCAAAAATTACTCGAGTCTCAGAGGCGCAGACGACAGTAATGCTTTCGTTGTTGCGTTCTATTGCCGTTATCATCTGGCTGATCCGCCCGTCCATGAGTCGGTCATGTGTGTGTCTTTCGCTTGAGACTCATCATTGGGAAGAAGAGTACAAGGGCGCCACGCCGCAATAGCAGCAAGTACGATTCAGCGCGATAGCACCGCTCTACCGCTTGCATTAATTGCTGAAAGCAGGTTTGTGTCTCATGTACGTGTCTGCCTTTTCTATTCCGAAGAGAGAGACTGTTTGAATCCACGCATAAAAAATGAAAATGTAGCCCCCCGCCTCGACGAGCCTCGTCCAGTGGAAACCCAGCGTCACAGGGATGCGAGGTCCGCCGTAACTCCTTTCGCACCCACCCGCCCTCCTTCCCCCTCCCGTACGCATACCCCATGTTTATGGTGCGAACATTGCATGTACTGTAGCTCAACAAGACCATCCAGAACCTGGTGTTCACGATGCTCAAGGACGACAGCGAGATCGCGGCCAAGAAGTCTCTGGACATCATGGTTGTTCTCTACCGGAAGAGAGTATGGGTGGTGAGAAAGAGAAGGGGAAGGAGAGAAAGACGGAGAGACATGGAGAGAGAGAGAGGAGACAGAGAGAGAGAGAGAGAGAGAGAGAGAGAGAGAGAGAGAGAGGAAGGGGGATGAGAGACAGGAAGAGAGAGGGGGAGAGAGGTTTTGAGCGAGGGCGTTGAACATACAGTTATGCTTTGAGTGCAGTACAAGCCCAAGAGAAACAGCGCAGGGGGAACAACAAGAGAACCAAGGGATTGATGATGAACTTCATCATGCCGACTGATTCCATGTTCACCACCCCCGTACCCCCCCATTCCTGTCGTTGTTCGTGCTTTCGTCTGTTGTCGGGACGTCTTCGCTTGGCGGCACCCGGAAAAAATGCCGCATTAAACAAGGACGCGCGTACGGTGAACGTGATTGCGACGGCTCTTCTCGCGGACACCCCCAAGCTTGCGTGCACGGCTCTGAACTTCTTCCTCAACATCGACACCATGATGGCTGACGACGACAACGAGGAGGGCAAGGCGGAGACGGCACAAGCAGAGGTTTGTGTTCGGTGATATATGTAGGTCGCCTGTTGTTGTTGTTGTTGTTGTTGTTGTTGTTGTTGCCAAAACAGGCCTGCCGGTTCGGTTTGGGGTTTTTGGTCAGCGAAATAATTTGCGGAGAGGGCCCAAACCCAGGTTCGTGTTTGGTTATGTGTGTCCCTTGTTGTTGATGATGTTGCAAAATAAGCCCGGTTCTGTGTGGGAGTGGGTACCGTACGATGCAAAGCCGGGAACGGGAGAGAGGTTCAAAGACAAGAACATGTCTGCAGCAGCAGTGAGTCCGTTTCATGCACGTGTTGTGATTTTCATGTCCAACAATGTTGTAGAGTAAACACTGAAAAGGACGGAAAAAATTGCTGCCGCTTGGTAGGCATAGAATGAAAAGTCATACAAGAGGTACGAGCCATTACGGGTCGGAACGAGAGGAAGTAAGCGAGCTAAAATGAAGGACGCAATACGTGATTGATGGAAGTGCCTCGGGGGATTTTGCCGTGGTGACCATGGCGTCTACAGGACGTAAATATATGCTCGGTTGAAACGTTGCGCATTCTACAGAGAACAGACAGCAGTGTACAAAAAGCCTTGTCGAACCCTTCAGCCGCGCATTGACACCACGCACGTGCATGTTGGTGAGCTGTACCGTTGGGCAACGAGGGAAGACTTCGGACCGGCCAGACCCACGGGGCTTCCTCGAGCAGACTCAGTCGAAAGTTGTGCTTGTATATAGGAGTATGACGTGACCGACGTGCAATCACGTGTCGAGCCATAACGAAGTAGGTGCCTCTTGGTTAACTCCATTCTCCCCTGCCTTCCATCCACACTTTCCACCAATCGGCCAATCGTATTCATTACTTCCCCACGTCGTACTCCAACCGAGAACTGCTTTGAACCAAGTGCTCTGGTACAGCAGTACACACCGGCGTCACCGGACTAACCCCGGATCTCCCCCCCTTCTTGTCAATCGAAACCGGGGTACCTTCTCACCGCCCTCACCCCGAAACAAGGTGAACACACACACGCACTCAAAGAAGACTGCTAAGCGGGCGCGCAGCGTGCAGAAGCAGGTGAAGACGAACAAGAAGAAGAACAAGGCCGCCCTGTCGGACGAGTCCAACGGCGGCCTCTTCCCAGCGATTAACCTGCTGCACGACCCGCAGGGCACGGTGGAGAAGGTCTTCCGCCGCCTCCGCCAGTCCAAGCAGCGCTTCGAGGTGTGTGCGCGAAACTCTTGTATGCTTCTTTACGTACAAGTATTTTGTGTGTGTGTGTGTGCCTTCGGCGGTCAGGCTGTGTTGGCGGATTTTGTTTCTTTGTGGGTTTCTATCGTTGTCAGGCGGGTGTTGCTGCCTCCTATCTTTTTGTGGGTCGTCCTTGCTGGAAGACGTGAGGCCGGTCACGTCCATAACCCACTGGATCACATGAACAACAGACGAAGCTCTCCCTCTACCCCCCCGCCCTACCCTGCACCCACCAAAAGGTGAAGCTCCTGATGATGAACTTCATCTCGAGGGTGGTCGGAGCGCACCGCCTGCTCCTGCTGCCTTTCTACAGCCATCTACAGCGGTACGTGGCCTCACAGCAGCGAGAGGTGACGCACATCCTCGCCTACCTGGTGCAGGCCTGCCATGACCTCGTGCCTCCCGACGAGGTGAGGGTGTCACTTTTTTTTTTTTGCATAAACGTGGTGAGATCCGGGATGCACTTGTCGGTTGTTGTTTGTTGGTGTGTGTTATCTTGTTTGTTCCTGCAGGAATGCGGTGAGATCCGGGGAAACACTGTCTTATGTACGTCTCTTTTTTTTCGATTGCTACCACGGCCTTCTACACCGCACACATGTCTATATGCGGCACTTTCTCTCGCTGCCACGCGGTGACAGGTGATGCCGGTGATCAAGGCCGTGGCATACAACTTCGTGACCGAGCGGTGTCCGGGGGAGGTGATGGCGTTGGGCATCAACTCCATCCGCGAGGTGACGAGGAGGATACCCGCCCTACTGGAGGAGGAGGGGATGGACGTGCTAGTCGTGGTGAGCGTCAGTGCACTGCTGCTGCTACTGCTGCTGTTGCTGTTTTTGTTCGGTAGGGTGGGTCACGATGTAGGGGATTGAAGGGCCGGTCGTTGTGAAAGTCAGTGCCCTGCTGCTGCTGCCGCTGCTGCTTGGTGGTTTAGTTTTTTTTCCGGTAGTAGGCGTGTATTTGTTCTTTTCGCGGTCTCCATCGGTGGCGGCGACGTTGACGAGGGGCGACGGCAGGGAAACAGCTGTCCACAAGGTGTTGCGCGCGGTGTTTTGATGTTGGTGGTGCCTGAGGACCGGGGCTTCCGCCTCCTTGCGACAGTGTTTGAGCAGGAAAGTCAAGCGTTGTGAACAAATCTAATGTGAATAGCAGGTGTTGGTGCTGGTGTTGGGTCATTGGTAACCGTGGTGGTAGGGTGATTCATACCGCGTGGTTGTTTTGCCCATGAAACCCGTGGGTAAGTACTTCGAAACGAAACGAAGAGATCCATGTAATAGAGCAACGAATACGCGACGTTTTGTTCCGACCGACTGCCGTACTTACGTGGCTACCCTTACCCGCCTTTTTTGCAGGACCTGGCGGCGTACAGCAAGCACGCGGACAAGAGCGTGGTGGTAGCCGCGAGAGGCTTCATCAACTTCGTCCGCGAGACGTACCCGAGCCTGCTCAAGTCCAGGGACCGCGGGAGGGAGCACGACATCACGGCCAGGCCCGCCAAGTAAGGAAGATCGCACACAACACAAGACAAGACACCACACCGTACAACACACACTACAACACAACAAAAACCGTTGTGAATGTGTTGGCCATGGCACGATCGCCCTCGTACCCATGTTCTATGGTTCGCCACCCCCGCTGTGGGTGTATTTACACAAAAAGTATTGTCGCCCCGACCGCGGGTTACGACGCGGCAGAATCGGCGTCGAGTTCATTCGTGCAATGCCTCGTTAGTTTCCGGAGTACGACCAGGAGAGGGAGGGAAGGGATAATTTAACATCTCTGCTTTGTTGCCAACATGATTCTGACACTCGACGTTGCGCCTCCTCCACCATCCATAGGTACGGGTCTCGCTCTGTGTCTGAGGGCGTCGACGGGGCTGACCTGCTTACCCTCCATGAGCAAGGGCTCATGCCTCTCGAGAAGGACGACGACGACGAAGGAGATGGGGATGGGGGCGACGCAGAGGAGGAGGAGGAGGAGGCGCCGCAGTTGGTATCCATGCCGGAAGACGGCATGGAGGTGGAGGGGGTCGAAGAGGAGGAGGGGGTCGAAGAGGAGGAAGAGGAAGAGGAGGAGGAGGAGGAGGGAGAAGAGGAGGAGGAGGAGGGGAGGCCGAGCAAGCGGGCGAGGGTGTCGGACAAGGGCGGCAAGGGCAAGAAGGAGGGGGAGGAAGGGGAAGGCCGGAAGAAGGGCGTCAAGTTCGCGAGCGAGGCCAAGGTGGCGGATGGACCCGGCCCGAACGGTCCCGTCGACCCGGGACCGACAACGAAGGTACAGTACGAAACACTTGAATTGAGATGCGTTGAGAGAGACGGAGGAAGGTGTACCAGATTAGATATAGCTTCTGACAAGTCTAACATGCGAGAGGCTGGACAGCGGTTTCGCCTTGGTTTCTTCACTTTATTTGTTGTCTGGTTTGCGTACCTCGAACGCTTGTTTTTTTTTTTTGTGCTGTTTTGTTTTTGTCTCGGTGGTGCTGTTGGAGAAAAGGTGTCCTTACTATGTTTGCCCCCGACGCATGTTCTTTGCTCTACAAATGCTGTCTCGTGTGCTCTTGTGCTCTGAGTGTCTCTGTTCGTCGTCCCTCTCTCCTCCCTCCACCCTTGAATGTTCCCCGTCCCACCGCCCCCCTCTACAAGGACATCGTCGCTACCCCGCTACATGGCATGTCATACAAGAACCAACACCCCCTTCTTCTCACTCTCCAACGTTTCTTGCACGCCGTCTCCGCCGGTACTGATATGCCGTACGCATGATACAACACCCGGTGGCATTCATCCTATTATGGCATACATGCATGAAACAAGCAGGTACCGTTGCGACAACGCGTGGACAGCACGAGGATCTTGAGCGCGGAGGATTTCGAAAAGATCAAGAAGCTCAAGCACCAGGCTGCCACGGGTGAGAAGCAGCAGCAGCAGCAGCAGCAGCAGCAGCAGCAGCGGGCGGTAGGGGGCGGATACGTTCCTTGTTGTGGTCGTGGCGTGTGATGTTTTTCTCCTTGTTTATGTGTTGCTGCAGTTTGCTACCACTTGTGTTATTTAGGGGTGCGGTATGTGTACGACAGGGGTCAACCGACGGCTGCGTCTTTCAGGTTGGGTTTCTCGACGGAAAAAAAAAGAATGTTGTTTCACGTTCTTGCCCATCTTGGCGAAGTTCCTCTATTCCATGCAAATGTATGCACACTCGGTCTACCTTTTCTTTGAAGGGCAAGGTTCTGGGCGTTCTCGACGGCTCCTTACTTCGGTACTGCTGCCCCCCCCCCCCCCCCCCCCCCCCCCCCCCCCCCCCCCCCCCCCC